TGCGTGCGTGTGTGTCTATGTATGGGGTGTGCATATGCACGCGTGTGTGCGTGTGCATGCGCGCGTGCGTGTTTGTGTGTGTTGATCTAGGGTGCGGAGCTCGCACGCACCGGTTTCCTCGTCTCCTCCTCGCCGCCCCGCCGCCTCAGGGAACGTGCGATCGTAACCGTCAAGTGTACACGTTCATATTTCACGCGCCGCTCGCTCTGCTTTCGCCTTGCTTTCGCTCTCATTTGTCCGCGATTCGGTTCGTTAGATGCCAACCCATGAGAACAAGATGCGTAGACTGACTCGCATCGGAGAACCCGCGCCGGCACGCGCAATGTCCCGTGCTGTCACACGCACCCGACAATGTCCCGCTGTCACACGCACCGACAATGTCCTGTTTTGTCATACGCACCGACAATGTCCCGCTGTCACATGCACCGACACTGTCCCGCTGTGACACGCACCGACAATGTCCCGCTGTCACACGCACCGACTATGTTCCGCTGTCACACGCACCGACAATGTCCCGCTGTCACACGCACCGACTATGTTCCGCTGTCACACGCACCGACAATGTCCCGATGTCACATGTATAGCAACAATGTCCTGCTCTGTCACACGCGCCGACAATCACTCTCTCTGTCACACGCGCCGACAATCACACGCGCCTCCTCTGTCACACGCACCGACGGTGTCACACGCGCCGACAATCCCCCTCTCTGTCACACGCACCGACGGTGTCACACGCGCCGACAATATCCCTCTCTGTCACACGCACCGACGGTATCACACGCGCCGACAATATCCCGCGCCGCGGATCACATCATCTGATCATCGTCTGATCGTGATCGTCGAATCACATCGTTAAACAAAAACGCTCGCACTGCCGCGCACGCGCTTACCGGAGCGGAAAACCACCACCAGCTCGTCCGCGAGGTAACCGGTCGCTTATCAAGCAGGCGCGGACGAGAGCGTGGAGGGGAAGTGGGAGGGGTAGACTGAGGAGGAGGAGGGGGAGGTGATGCTCTGGTAAACGCGCGGAGAAACCGGTGCGTGAGAGGTGAACGAGCCGAGAGAGAAAGAGAGAGGGTGTTTCGGACAATTACACCTCCTACTCCAGTTTCGGGACGAGTTTGACCTGATTGCCATCAGAACGCGGTGTTATTGGCACTCGTGATCGTAATTATGGGAGGATGCGGGGCGCCGGGAGGGTGGTTGGTCGGAGGGCGTGGGAGTAGGTGGGTGAGGGTAAGGGAGGCTAATCATACGGGTGTGATTTAGAGTGGGATAGGCAGACTCCCGTGTGTTTAGTTGTATGGTAATAGTAGTGTGTTGATATGATCAGGAGTTAATAAAGACAAATGTAATAACGACTTTGTCTTTATTAACTCCTGATATGATGTGTATGTATCAGAAGTAGATTATAGGAGGTTCCCTATTATCGACTTCTGGTATGTATACTACGTATGTATTTAAGGGCTACATAATATATTAATTAATACCGTAAGGTACCATATATAAGGCATTATTAGCTCTTGATGTATTGTAAGTGCATTCGCGCACCCCGCCCACACAGGTGAGTGTACTATTCCTGGTGAGGTATTATTAGCTCTTGATTATACGTATATGTAAACGACTATAATTACACGACATATAATGCGGGTAATGTTTATAGATGTTAACGGGGAAGGTTTCTTGAAGGCATGTTTATAGGCAACAGTCCCTTTTCAGATTATATGGTTGCAAACGCGTCTATGTTTAGACTAGAGTTGGGCCCACGTGTCTGCCCAGACCACATTTAGGCAATCGTTTTTGTTTAGACTGCACGTAGGTTGATGTGCCTAAATTAATTACTATTATGTGAGCATATCTATTTAGCTATGTGTTTGTGTGTGTGTGTGTGTGTGTGTGCGCGCGCGCGCGCGGGCGCGTGTGTGTGTGTGTGTCGTGGGGGAAAGGGTATGCTTAAACGAATACGAAATATACGTGAATGTCTAAGCACAGACTATTAATGCATATATGTACAGGTCACATAAGCTATTTTCCCTGCGTTGCGCCGCTAAGCAGCGCCAGCTGGTGGATATACAAAGGTATTCATGATACATCTAGCTATCAGCTGATCTGCTTATACTAACTACTGTATTATACTTACAATAATTAGTATAATAGAGATTAGTGCTTCGCGACGAACGATTGTGTTCAGAATGCAACTAGCAGGCGCACCATACCGGCACAGACAGTGTATTTATTCGTTCTTAATTGTTTGCACCGGGTATTACGCGATTGGCGCCACTAAAATGAGTTGAAATTAACGGCGTAAATTTATGATCTACGCCTCATAGTATTAAAATGGCGGATTAACCCATTTGTGTGTAATAACTATAATGCAGTGTGCTATGGACATATTTGTTTGTCAGCATATTATAACGAACAGCCTGCTGGCAAGTGCGCATATGCGTGTACTCAAATTCTAGCTATTATTTATAAGCCTTATAATGAACTCCTACTACTAACGCGAAGGCTTCGTGCGGTTGAGTATTTTTTTACGGGAAAGTAGTTTATATACATGGTGTTCGAACACTGGCTTCATGCTACACCAAATCTCTAACTTGATTATATTTATATTGTTTCAGCAGGCGTATATGTTGTCTCAGTATATTTAGGTAAGACGTCCAGGGCAGCCTTATAATTATTGATTCTAAGCTTTTCCTCGGTAAATATTTCTTATGGGAAGTTTTTTTTCAACCATGTGCTAACTGGTTTATTGTACAAAATCTCGGAGCTGATTATATTTATATTGTATTCACAGCCGTATATGTTTGCTGCTCAGTATATTTAGGTAGAGTCAGGCACCTTAATATTATGGAATTCAGCTTTGCTCCGTAAATATTCTTATGGCAAGTTTTTTTATCAACATGTGCTCAACTGGTTTTATGCTACAAAATCTGCTAAAAACTGATTATATTCTATATTGTTATTCACAGCGTATATAGTTGTGCGGCTCAGTACTATTATGGTTAGACGTGTCCAGGGCACGCTTATAATTTATGAATTCAAGCTTTGCCTCGGTAAGATATTCTTATGGGCAAGTTTTTTTTTTCAACATGCTGCTAACTGGTTTATGTACACAAATCTCTTAACTGATTATATTTATATGTATTCACAGCGTATATGTTTGGTGGCCTCAGTATATTTAGGCTAGACTCCAGGGCAGCCTTATAATTATGAATTTCAAAGCTTTGCTCGTATAATATTCTTATGGGAAGTTTTTTTCTTACAACATGTGGCTAACGTGGTTTATGTACAAAATCTTCGACTGATTAATATTTATGTTGTACTTCACTGTTGCATGTATTGATACTTAGTATTGTAGGCTGAGATGCCAGGGCACCTTATGACTAATCTTCAAGCTTTGGCTGGTCAGATTATTTTTACTGGTGTCATTTATATACGATGCTCTCAGTGTTTAAGAACAAAGGCGTTGACTCGCTTATATTTACATTTAGCGATTTACACCAGGAGTTCTGAACTCACTAATTACTCAGAGGTATAAGAGCACCTTTTAGATTGTTTACTCAAGCTTTGTGTGGTTGACATTTTGCTGAAAAGTTGTTTTATATGCGTGAGATAAATTGTTTTGGGCATGGCAACATATCGACTCATATAATATTCAATTTCAATTATACCATGTCCACAGGCAGGCATCAGGATTTTGTCTGAGGGGGTCAGGGGAAAGGCACTTTGCAGATTTTGTTAGGGAACTGAAGCGTGGGGTCGGGGGGCCTCCCCAGAAAAATTTTTAAAAATACAGACCTCCTTTTTATGCATTTTCAGAACAGCATATGAGGCGAAATTTTTGTACTTCAAGTCTTGTCATAGCAATGAACAGACAATTCCAGTACAAGGCAAAATCCACAAACACAACCCCACTTGCTTGAAATTAACTGCATCAGAGCGACAAAATACTAGTACGCTCGTGAAATCAAACTGCGATATGGATTGAACACATTTTTATTACAAAGAAAATAAAATCATTACATGTACTAATTTATATGCTTTTCGTTTCATACATTTACTATAAAACTTGAACTTCAACTTGAATTTCAACGACTGATATATTGTCTTACTTAAAACACACTCAGTATTACTCTTGCCACAGGGGCGTGTACGGATTTTGTAGCAGGGGGGGGGGGGTTACAACCGTAACCCAAACTTGGGAGCACGCGAAAGGGGCGGTCTTGGCCGCTCCCCCAGAAATTTGTAAATTAGACCCCCTCAGATGCGCTTTTCTGCGCGAGCAGGAGGGTCCGGACCCCCTGGACCCCCCATGTACACGCCCCTGTGCCAGTAGTACTTGAATTTCAACGACTGATATATTTATCTTACTTAAAACATACTCAGTAATTACTCTTGCCACAGGGGCGTGTACAGGATTTGTAGGCAGGGGGGGGGGTACAACCCGTAACCCAAACTTGGAGCACGCGATAGGGGGGGTCTTGGGGCCCTCCCCCAGAATTTTTTTGAAATTAGACCCCCTCAGATGCGTTTCTGCGCAAGCAGGGGGGGTCCGGACCCCCTGCGACCCCCCTGTACACGCCCGCTGTGCCAGTAGTACCTTACTTTTACCAATTTAGACCAAAGGAGTGGGCTCTTGCCGAGAGAGAAATATAGTAATAGTACTACTAAGTACGTTTTAAGTAAAAAATGCAAAGATAACATCGAAAACTATTCAGAATGAAATTATTGAAGCAAAATTAGAGGGGGGTTATTACCCCAGGAGGGTACCAGTCTATAACAAAGCAATCAACGGTGGTGCAGCCTGGCGGCGATCTGTCGCAGCTCAGAAAACAAGTCGGGTCGGCCCCCCGTCCCCCCTAAAAAACTCCTCGGAAAACATTTTTTCCGCTTAAAAATCTATATTATTTTTTAAAAAATTGGAGAAAAAAAATTTCCTTGGGCCAGAAAAAAGGGCAACTCAAAATTTTTAGGGGGGGTGCGCACCCCCTGCACCC